GTTCACAAGTATCAGTTTTCTCGTTTAGTAACTTCCTTAGAGGAAAAATAACAACTGTTTCTCCATCAAAACCCGACGCCGTAGGCCATCAAGAACAGTTGGATTTAGAGTTTGCTTCTGTTAGTATATAGCGTGACAGATTAGTAGGAGATATATCAACAGTCGTGGCTTTATTAGCTTGTGTTTCTTGTTTTCGACGATGTTTAGATTAGTTGGCTAAGACTGTAAACGGAGATTTAAGACAGTAAAAGAAAAAAACAGTCGGTTTTGCATTAGGAAAAAAGTGAATATAAAAGAATTCCAGGGATGATGATTCCTATAAAAGTTATACTTTTAGGGTTTAGGGTTGTGATTACATAAGGCGATCGAAACGCATTTTTTATACCGGAAAACTCTCTCAGCATTTCCTCTATCAGATTAAATAGCTTGTCAAAATTCTCATTTCATATATTTCATACTGCCCACAAGAATGACCAAGATAAATAAAAGTTCCTAAATTTACTAGTATTTGGATCCTTTATTTAATTCATTAAAAATCACGAATTCATACACAACTGAGAATTTGCACGATAAACGCTCAGCTGGATCAAAAGGTTCTTTGCGTTGGCGTTAGAAACACCATGAGTTATATTTAGAGCATAAACACGGAAGAACCTAATGCATATACAATAAAAAAAGCTGCTCGGGCAAATTGAAATCAGAAATCAAATATTCAATTTTGCTTTCAGAGTAATCTGGCTTGTTTTGCTTTTTGTTTTTGTTTTTGGCTCCTTGTTATTGGTGTAGAAGCTACAGGACACGTCACAATAAAACATTATTTTCCTCGATCTTTTGTCTCGTTTTCTTCTCTATTGTGTCTTCTTCGCCAAGTAAGAGCCTTTAGTCTGTTTCTGCTCGTCAATTTGCTCTGGAGAGCATGACCTATCAAAGTCAGTGCAAGCTGCTGAATCACACTAACTGATACAGAAAAACAAAAACTTGGCACATACCACCCGAAAGGATGATGAAATTCTTCCTTATGATGACTTTTGTCGATCCTCAAAATCATGTCAACAAAAGCCAACAATAAGTTTCAATTATTCACATTTGGCTCACAAAATATCATAGAGGGTCTCAATGGGGTTATGGTTTTTGTGGCTAGGGGTAAGATTCCCCTTCCACAAAACCCTCTCTCAAGACTTCTCGTAGTAGACGTCAGGTTTTATAAAGTTGGGGAATTATCGCCTGGGTGATGTTTTCGTATATCAACCAGTTTTAGTTGGGGGGTATTCGGACACGTGATGCGTTTAGACCAATCGCGCAGAGCAAATATATTTGATGGATTATAATTATCAATGTCATCACTATTATCATTATTATTACAATTATTATTACTACCGATAAGGGTGGTAGTTATCATAAGGTCTATCTACCCTCTGACCATCTATATCAAAATTTTATAAAGTGAGATGATTTATTATTACGCGAAGTTTTTAATTATAATTTTTTTTAATTAAAAAGTGCGACAAGTGTTATGACAGAGTGACAGGTGTTACAGTATACGACGAGATGGACCTCCCAGGGATTTCTTTGTCGGTTGTTTGTTGTTGTTGTTGTTGCACAAGCAGTGGGAACTAATGGGCTATATTACAGTTTTGTACTTAATTGCCAAGCCTTTAATTTGGCGTGAGGCTGAAGGTGACCTTGTTGTAATAGAGACCAGTATCTAGCTAGCATGATAACAAACTAATTTGCATTTGAAAAGCAGCAACGTTTCTACCATAACAAGGTCACCCTTAGCCTCATTCCTGTTCAAAGGCTCGGCAATTAAGCACACAAATGTAAAATGGACTAGTTTTTTATTCGCGTCTGAAAAATTAATTAAAGAAATTTAAGAGGATTGTTCTTCTGTTTGAGTTCGTTCACAACTTCAATTAAGATGAGTCAATCAAATGTTACCTTTTGCAACGGAAGTTGAAGTCGAAATCCCAATATAAGGGAAAATACCTGCAGTATTCTTTTCTTTGTATACGTATAAACATAGGGGCTTTCAATTCTTCATTCTCTCTGCTGGTATCGAGTAATTGAAGAAACTTTGCAGCTGATAACCATCATAAAATTGAGGATTTTATTGAAGTTTGCATTAACTCATCAACCGTATTTTGTTAATTGTGCCTTTACGAAGGGAAATGAGTTATTTCCACGTCGTTGGTTGACAAATGCAAAAAGTATTTTTAGCAGAAATAACGTGCCGTAAGGCACTTTAAGCATACAGTTCAAAGAAATTGTTCATTTTTTTAAAGTTTATTTAGAAGGAAATAATTAATTGTAGAACAATAAAGAAAGAACTATCTAATTTCCATTTTAGGCATACATCGCAGACACAAAATAAGTTTATATGAATTTGCAATTTGAAACAGATGGATGTGGTTGATGGGTGTTATTCTAGGAAGTTTAATGAGGTATCCATTACATCAAATTTTTAATCGTAATGCACTGTATACCGTAGGAAGAATTTGTCTTAAGCTGAAGGTAATTGATTCTCCAGCGGAAATGTGTTTACATTACGGAATAAAATTTTTTAGGTGAGTTTTATCTGTGTACAGAATGACTGAGTTCTGCGCATTGTTGTCCGCTGTATTAATTAAATTTTCATTCAGTTTGAAAACAAAAGCGCCGTCAAGGTTTATCAGTGTTGAAAATATATTAAAAGTACAGTTATATTTCTATTGATATTGGAAAAGCAGTGGGATGGTGAAAGCCAGATAAAATGCCTCGGTGCTTTTCCATTTGTGTATGGATTTCATTATTTGGATTTTCAAAGGAAAAATCACTCCAAGGTAATATAATTTTTTCCTATCTTTACGTTTTACGTTTTTCTTTTACTTTAAACCTTTTCTTTTATTCTGAGATTGCGATTTTTCTAAAAAAATCGTTCATACTTTTTTTTGAGAATATTGGCACCAGTTCAAGCTTTGCACAGACTGAAGCTCCGTTTTTTATGGTCGTTCATCCTTGAATTATAGCACGAATCATCACGTCAGTCGTGTGCAGGTGATATCTAATCCATTCTAGTCGAGATCACCAAAATTGGCGTCATGCATCAGGAACTTGTGAACGCACATTGTTTGGACAATAGGTTCAGTTTGTTTCATAAAAGATGCGAGTTTCCTTTCAAGTCAGGGAAATAACTAATTGTCGTCTGATCTAAAATATATAATTCTGTTAAGAGGCAAATTTTCGTCCCACTTTTGTTATATATTCAAAATCCTTCAAGTAACTTCAACCATTCATTCGTAAGACAATGCTTTAGATTCTGCTATCAGCTTGAAATCGTATTGGCTTTGCCCTTTTAGATTTGCGTTTGATCTATTGCAATTATTAAATAACACATGAACCGCCCATATAAATTTCTACTACCTTTCAGTCCATATGATTGCCTCAAGTCATGACAAACATTGTTTAAATAATATTTTTTAAGAGGGTGTTTGCAAAGTCTCGAAAAACACGAAGGTAAAGTGGCATCAACTCCTTCTAAATTTATCTGACCCTTGTAATTATGGCCAAACTTTAAAGAAGAAATCCTTTCATTGTAAAACTGAACCTCATTGGGAAATGGAAAGTAAACTCTTGAACCCTATAATAATTTACATGGACCGCAGCATTATGGGTTGCAGTCTTTCAGTTGATCGTGAGCATTAAACTTACAAATTGCGGTTGAACTAGCCGAGATGTGGTCCTCGTGAATGTGATTACAGACTGAATTGAACGAAAAGAAGTCCTGTTACCAGTTAATCATAACTATTTCAATTTCCGAAAAATCAAATACACCTACAAATACAAATACAAATACAAATACACAGCCAATTGTCCGATTACACTGTCCGATAACAACTGTACAGAACGATTTATGAAAAATAAAGCTGCGAGTGCACCAATAATATTTGAGGAATTTGTAATGGTTATGATTAGATAGGTAATCACTCGTAATATAGTATGTAGACCAGAAGGTTGACAACGATAACAAGGAAGGTCATCTGTAAATCAATAGCTTTTATTGATATTTTCTCCATATCATGATATCCTCTGTATCTGAAAAAATAATGGAGAGGCTAACATATTTGTTTGTTTGATGGTTTTTCTTCGCTTGTATACAGGAGACAACAAAGTGGATGGGTGTAGGGTGTGTGAGTGTGGGTGGAAGGGGGGGGGGGAGAAGGTGGGGAAATCACAAATGTTTCTCTTAGCGTGTCATAGTTGAAAGTTGTTCCAGATTTGTCCCAGATTTGTATCGACCCTTATCAAAATCATTTTTTTCAGAAGGGTCTGCTTTAATGCAATGGTCAAATTGGAGTCCCTGCTTTGGTCGGTGCAGTGTTAAATTTCAGGCAAGGAATTGTTCGAAGGGTTGCGTTGGTGACCAAAATATAGAGATTAGGGAGTGTTCAACACATGAAAACTGTTCAGGTATAATGTACAGCTGCTCTATTGATGACTATATATATATATATTGTACCTGTATATTGTGTACACGTTCAGGTTAACATTTCAGACAAAAAAAACTTCACAAGAAAAGGAAGAAGCAGAAAAAGAGTAACAACAACAACAAAAATAAAGCCAGTCGAAAACTAAAACAAACAAACAAACAAACAAAAATAACCCGTAGCCACAAGCGACGGTTATAAGTTCGTTTTTGTTCCACTTTGTAAGTGTGAATATTTTTTTTTGGGTTTGTTTTCTCGAATAAGTTTTCTCTCGCTTTATGCTTGTTTAGCTTCCGATTCGTTTCACATCTTTGTGCTAGTTGCGTAATCATGCATTGCCTATTTCGTTTTTTTTCATTGGCTTATTCTATTCCGTGTAAAGCGTGACTGTATAAAATCAATGTGTTTCGTTTCGTTAATCAGTTCTTGTTTGTATGCAGAGTGCCGTACAGTTCTTGTAAGAGGTTAATTTTCATTGCGTATATTGTCCATCGTTGTTATTGACATTGACTTCGAAGTGACGGTTGTAAATTGACGATGTTTCCTTTTAATTTTTGCCGTCTTATCGTAGCTTATAGAGTGCGGCTTTCCCATAATCTTACTTTTGCCGCTAAACTGAAGCTTGATGGGTATGTGAACAACACTTGGACGCCCGTTTGCCATCCAGTAGGCATTGCTGATAGACTTTGCCAGATCCAAGGCTTTGAGTCAGCTGAGAATAACGCAAACTGCGATATGATCCAGACTCACCGATATGGCAACACAACTTGTGGCACTCTTCAAAGAATGATTTCTAATTGTAGCGAACCTCACAGAGTTGCCGCTGTATGTAGAGGTACAACAAGTAAATAGACTCAGGCAAATTTTTGATAAAAGCAGAGAGGGTATATACTTCCAAATTTTTTAACGTAGTAATCGTAATAGGTGTAGAGAGCTTTCTTGCCATTCCAGCCTACAGTGTATACCCATCGTTTCATACTATATCAACGTTAGATACAAACTCCGGTGGTAGGGAAAGTCTTCTTGTACGGAGAAAAACTCTATACTTTGTTTACTGTAATAGGATAATTCCATTCTCCATTGTATGACAAAAACACAACCCACAATTTCCCAATTTGCTCTTACGAGGGGCTAACGCCCAAAACATCAACTCTTGTGATTTATCTTTATCAGCTACATGTAATAGTTGAAAACTAAGATGTTGTTTTAAATGTCTGCTGACGCAGTTCAACAGTTTCTTTGAAAACTAATGTTATCACTTCATTGCAATCGCTGCGATCCATCCAGTTGTTCACACAGGTCTTTTGGAGCCTACAATGGAGAATCATACAAATGAACGTGGAAAAAATTCAGGAACTGGCAAGTTGTTTCATTCCTTCTCCTTTTATCAAACAGTTGCCACACTAATTTTTGAAAAAGCTAGGCTTTGGTGTCAATTTCACTTCATCCGCCGTTGCTATCCATATAAAGAAATTCCCGGAGACCCTCTCTTTAACTTACTCTTGTCTTCTTTTTTAAATTCTAACAAGATATGTATGCAAAGAAATTTACGAAACTCAGTAGTCTTAATATAGAATTATGAAGTTAATCATCAAGTGCATCAGCTATTTTGGACAAATTAATATAAACATCCATCTGCGTATATGAGCATCAGCCAAGGTACTCAAAGCCTTAGTGACGGTGTCACCAACGACAATAGAATCGTTGATCATTAAAGGATTAGCAGTGTAGACCACGGACGAACATCAGCAATGCAATTCTTGATCACAGAAACTACGTTTATTTGCGAGTGACTAGAGTAAGGTCTGAAGGAAAAGGTAGATGTGACTGTCATCAGTATAAACATGGACGAAAGGCGAGGTGCGGAGAAATGATATCAAATTAGCGAGGTTATAACAAGTAAATGCAATATGATCCGTCCAACTACCCCGTTGTACCCTGCAGTTGGGATAAAAGTCATCGGAGGTTTTATCACCAATGAGAACACACTGTTCAAGATCCAACGAGAAATGAGTCAAAATATTTGCAGTACTTTCTCCTACTCTGAAAATGAATGAAAGATTACGCAGTACAGATTTTTTAAAAAAATCTAAATCAGGTCCTGGCCTTTTTAGTAGAGGAGTAACAACAATTTGTCAGTTTCCAGGAACTGAGAAGAGACATATTTGAACAGACTCGCAAATCCCCACATGCAGGGATAACGAACGAAACGGTTTTAAAAATTAGCTATTTACTTGCCCTCATCAACTTTTAGCTTATCACTAATTGCCTGTTTCGTTGGCGTGCCGACGCAGCGCAACAGTTTCTTTGCAAACTATATATTTATGTTTGAGATCAAGTATTCCTCTCGTTTCAATGGCGTTCTTCTTAGAATACTAATAATTATACTGACGCTGGTTAATCGTTTGTAATCAGGCACGAATTCATCGGAGGATTTCGATGTGTTTATTCTACGGGATTCTACTGTGTTCGACGTTGGTCAAAATGTATCATTAATTTGCAAGATTCCACGGATAACAGTCCCCATAACAGCAGAGTGGAGAAAAAAAACAGATAAAAAAATTATCCTTCAGCAAGATTTCCTTGGTGAAAAAGATACAGAATCGTCGTCGCATAAAAGATTTTACCTGGATCTCGAGGCTGTCTCCACTCACAATTCAGGGTGGTACACTTGTGAAGCAAATTCCTCAATCGGTTCAGATAAGGATTCCATCTTTCTGAATGTGACCAGTAAGTAGTGTGGTCATTCAATATTAACTATCTCTTGATAACTGATAATGACTACTAGACAAAGATTGTTAGACGTGCAAATTTACAAAAACACCAACAAAAAATAGTTACGAAAAGACGGACTGTCGAACAATTTTGTTGTTGATCACAGGTGTGCGTAAAGAGTAATCTATGCTTAATTGCATTTATCTACCTGTCGTTCTATCGTGTCCCAGCCCTTTCGTTTGACACTTGTGTTGTTTTGCTTGTAATTAAAGAACGCAGAGAGAACGATGAGGATAATAACGTTGCAGTGATCGTTCTTAGTTTTGTATCTGGTTTCCTGTGCCTTGGCATCTTTGTCTGCTTTGTCTACCACAAGAGACGAGTTTCAGGTATGGTCAACATGACTAAACAAGCACTAAAGGACTAAAGGTGGGGAGGGAAGGGGGAGCTGAGTCATTTTTCTACAGAAACTGCGGTGCTGCGTCGGTTTGGGGTATTTACAGGATAAATTGGCTTTATCAACTGAGTTGATGTTGTGACTCAGCCTCCGTATAGATATTTTAAAGCTGACGTTTCAAACGTCAGAGCGATAGACGAAGGGCTAACGCTTGAAACTTCAGCTTTTTTACCCTTTACGGTGGCTAATTTACGTTTTCAACTCAGTTGTTAACACTAAATTACATGCTATACTCTCCCACCGACGCAGCACCACAGTTTCTTGAGAAACTTACCCCTTTATTAATATGGTATTAGTATAGTAGTGGTAGTAGGAGTAGTAGTAAGAGTGATAGTAATCATATAACAGTTGAGGTACTAGTACCAGACAGTTATAGTAGTTGGAAAACAGTTGTCGTAGTATTAGAATATCGTAAAGCAGTATATTCTTTCCTTCCGACGAAACAATAGAGAAGGTATTATCTAAACGTTAATGGAAAGAATTAATGAGTCAATTCTGTTTTCTCGAATGACATAAAGGATTTCCTGGCAAAAATTGTTTAATTATTGTTAACATACTTCCCTTTTGGTTTTTTTAGCCCTAAGAAACGTTGATCGTTTGGAAAATTTCACTTTACAAAGGTACAGTCACAAATTGTTCATTTACGAAGTATGGTAAGAGGTGATTTGTTAATTTTCAGGTTGTTAATACTAGGAAACGGCATTTATTTCCAATATCAATCATTCATCTAGTCGTTTATCGTTAATTTGATAATGGATCTTTTTTAAGGGTAGCATCATCAATCCAAATAAACGGGAAAGAACAAATAACTGGAGTGTGAGGAAAGAAAAATACTGATGTTAGAAGTGTAGAAGTGAGCGAAAACAGGGGGGAGAGGGGTAAAGGTGATCATTGATTACAAAGGTGATGAATGAATTGAACATCTACTAAACTTTAGAAGTGCATGCCGTCCGAACGTGTGTTAAGGGTAAAGTGCTGGCGAGCGTGGCCGTCGATAAACTGTTCCTCGTTCTGGAAAAGAAGCTAAGCAATATTTATATTGGTCTTTTGACATGGAGACTACTTCCCGACAAGTGTGGGCAATTTAAGTGGTTAGAACTTATCATAATTTCCTCCGTCCCTTTTACCTAGTGACACAGACAAACGATATCTCTCCGTTACTGCTTCTCGCTGGGAGATCACCCCAAAACAAATTCACCTCCAAAGCATACTGGGAACTGGGGCATTTGGAGAGGTTTGGAAAGCTGTGGTTTACGGAATGAAAGGGCACCCTGACGAGACTACAGTGGCTGTCAAGAAACTAAAACGTAACTAAGGCCTAAATTTATTACATTTAGGCAAGGTCTTATACAGTTGAAAAAACATAAAAAATACATAAACGTGGTTTACGACTAGGTTAGGAAGGAATTCGAGGGTATTCGGAATCTCGACTTGTCATAACTTAAATATTGTTTTTTTTTTTTAATTTTAAAAGTGTATAAATCATAATTCATATATAACAATTTTTCGACAATATATCATATGTTTGAAATAAATTCAAAAGTTACGTAGTACTTTATATTCTTGATAAGTGCCGTCTCTCAAAACAGATCTCCGCAATTAGTTCCCGCCAAATTTTCAATGAAAATGCGAACGAGCACTGAGTTACTGTGAATTTCCAGTTCAAGTGTTCGATGTAGACCGGTGGATGATATCTTTTTACCTATTTATCTATTTCTTTGTCTACACATTACGATAACAGGTAACTGTTCTGACCACGAACAGGAATCATTGGCGCAAGAAATTGAATTGGGGAAATCTTTGGGTGGAGACAAACATCCCAATATCGTTAATTTCCTGGCGTGTGTTTCCACATGCAGTAAGTGTCTAAGTAGTGAATTTTTAAAGTATCATGACGAATCATATTTTATTCTTGAAGACCAGACATTATTTGTCGGGTGGAGAGAGGGGGTGGAGGATCGGGGGGGGGGGTGGGGAGCATGATGTTCAGAAGGAAAGGAGATGGGGATCATTTTTCGTCAATAGAGTATAAAGGAAGAACTGCAGAATATTGACGATTAATGAACTGCCAACGAGGGGAAATCATAAGAATATTACAGAGCCTTGTGGAGGATCAGGTAATTTTTACAGTGTCACAACCGAAATCCTCCAAACCCACCATGCGACAAGGAAGTTTTGGAACCACAAGTTAAACCAAGAACGCAGTGTATTTCACTCTTCTTTACATTTTGATTTTTTTGATTCACTTCTCTATTCATCAATGTATTCCTTTTGTCTTGCATCTATTCATTCATTCATTTATTTGATCGTTCGTTAGATCATTTTCATTTTCATTTCTTGCTCTTTACAGCTATTCTTTTATTTCACATACTTATAAGTATTGTTGTTATGTTACAGCACCTATGATGTTGGTTTTGGAATATGCTCCATACGGGGATGTGCTTGGCTACCTCCGGAAAAGCAGGGGAGTGGAAGATCAGTTCTATTGTTCCCCAGAGTGTTGCCAGCAGGAAGTGACTTCATACGATCTGCTTAGTTTTGCACAACAGATTGCTTCCGGAATGAGTTTTCTGGCATCAAAGAAAGTATGTGTTTGCTTAAACGCTAGGAAATGTCTGAGATGTATTATTCTTCGTCAAATATAAATAGAAATTTCCCTTAATTTTTCCTACGATTCACAACTGGTCTCTTAAAAATTTCTCAACACCTTCCTAAGGAAAGTTAATACTTCGGTTCCCGAAGGCTGATTGATGTACTCTTCCTTTTTATGGCCAACAGTTGTAGCTACTATGGTTTATCAACACCGGTCGAGAAGCACTGTTTATGTTTAGCACTGTTGGTTTCCTACGCTTATCTCCCAACCTCCCGCGTGTTTACATCAGCCTATGTAAACACGGAAACCATTTTACATTTCTTCATTCAGCTTTGCATTGCCTATGCATTTCCGCTCAAAGCAATTCTGCAATTTTCAGATCCTTCATCGTGATCTCGCTGCAAGAAACGTTCTGTTGGGAGCAGACAGGATTTGTAAAATTACCGACTTTGGACTGGCTCTGATAAGGGATAAATATCAACAGTATCTTTATTGCACTGCCGTTAGAAAGGTAACTGTACTTGTTAAATATTTAACTTCTCTGAATGGGTGACTTTAATCGCTTTTCATGGAGGAACAAAGACAATAACTCGAGCTGACACTTAATCAACTTTTTTATTCGTGCATACCTACTATTGCAGTGTTTTCTCTATTTAGTTTCATTAATTTTATTATCATTTCCCAATTCATAGGGTCGCCTCCCGATCAAATGGACCGCTCCTGAGCATCTTTTTAAAGGTTCTGACGAAAAAAACGTCAGAGTGTCAGAGAAAAGTGATGTGTAAGTTAACTAGCTAAGGGGTCATCTTTTAACCATTTAATTCCCATGAGTGACCAAGACAGAATTTCTCCTGACAATATCAACACAATATCAAGCAGATAAGTGATGAGAAAAGAGAAAGGTCTTAATTAGGGGATTATTAGTTGATCCAATACCAAATTCTCCAAACTAACACCAGAAGAACTACGTGGAAAATAGTAAGGAGAATTACTAATGAGATCTTGGGAGTTAAAAGGTTAATGAAACTGAAATTTTTTTTTCCTTGAGCTTTCAAATGAGTGTTTTAGCTCGATTCTTTTTTAACTTTTCATTCTAAAAGGTCTGAGAATGCACTCGTACGAGATCCTCAAAAATACCTTGAATCTTTTTCTTGCTCGTTGCTATTTTTATCAGCCTATGTAAGTGTATTGAAACGAAGAACGTTTGTGGAAAGCTTCTAACTCATGCTTGTCGTATGGCATTGCCTTTACAAGTGATTTACGCCATTTCTTTTTGAAAAATGTTACCTTTCGGCGAAAGCCGACGTCCGTGGTTTTGTGGAGTGATATGACGTCATTTCACTGTCTGTACTCTTATCGACAATGAATTTCGACCAATGAGAACAAGAAATTTTATAATTATTTATTAATTTCACATTGTATTATTTTCTCTTTTTAAAACAGTTGGTCATACGGCATTGTTCTGTTTGAAATATTTACTTTAGGTGAGTTGTATAACCCTCAGCGTTAAATTCAGTATTGACACTGTTCATGAAACCTCTACTGTTTGTCGTTAGGCACTTCTGAATGACGGTTTCTCCAAAACTCGCCACTTATGATTCGCTCATTACTTGTTTTTATCACATTTGGACGTGCGTCACGAAAACTAGGTCGAGTACATCAGATCCAGATTTCCATGTTTACTTATGAGTCTCCTTGGGTATAAAAGGGATAATATCCGGCAATAACCATAAACCTCGGTTTTGTGTACTAAACCCAGTGTTCCTGGTTTCCCGTCCAAATAAATCGAACATGATACCATTTCTTGTAATAGGAGGCGTGCCTTATCCAGGGTGGAACGAATGGAAAGTTGTGTATGAACTGAAAGTGAACAAATATCGGATGCCTCAACCAGAACATGTCAGTGATGAACTGTAAGTGCGAATTAACCAATCCTATAAGATTGGTGACTCGTATGGATTTCTATCTTTTATTGTTGTCTAAATTATATCCCTACAAGAGGGAAGAAAATAATTTTATTTCGTCTTTTTAGCTATCTTAAAACAAATTTCTTTAAAAATAGCAATATAACTGAATAGTGAATAAAACTTTAGAACTGAGCGGACCCATTGAACCTAGCCGATCAAAACTGACAAACGCCTCCTAAGTCCTTAATGGTTCCCAAAGGCAATGACGAAACTGGCCAAAAATTTTTAAACAGTCACACCTATGATCAAATTACCCGGTCGACAATAAATTTTTGGTCCTATTTTTTTTCCTTCGATACCCCTAATCTGTAGATATCAGCTTATGGCGGATTGTTGGAACGAAGACCCTGACGCCAGACCCACGTTCGATCATCTTCATGAAGTGATGACTGGGTTTTTGCAGGAAGAGGTAACTATTTACATTAGAAAACATAATTCTCCTTTTTTGCTTATCTATTCATGCCATCTCAAAAAGCGTTCCATTTAGTCAAGTCTGAATTTGATCCATTGCGTGGCTTAAAATTGCCATTGGTTGCGAATGGCAAGCCTCCATATGTGGACAGTAGGGGCACGAATTTCCCAAAGTAACTGGCAGAGGATATAAATAATCTGTATAGTATCAAATTCTACTGTGAAAGGCCTATAGATACTTATTCTTCAAGAATGTTTTAGTAGCGGCTAGTTGCCGACCCTATGAAATAGTGTGTGTAGGAGCTGCAATGTGTTCATAGTCGAATAATAAGAAGGCTTATTAATTTTATAGAGTAAGGGTCTCCGTTGTTAGGATTTTCTCACTACATCTTTTGAACGTTGCAGTATTAGATGTCTTTTAATTCCATGCCATTTTTTCAGCACTATGTGGATATGTCAAAGTATGAACCAAGTCTTTATGCAAATGTGGAGGAAATGGTCACTTCTTCAGGTCTTGCTTCCTTTGATAATTTGACAACTGTGCTGTAGAAGATCAA